ATCCATTCGATTTTCGATAATTGGATCCACTCGATTTTAACGCTTGTTATTCGATAACCGGATCCATTCGATTTTGACCCGCGCTATTCGATAAATGGATCCACTCGATTTTGTCACTTTTAATTCGATAATCCGAACGCGTCTTTCGTTTTAGGATATATTTAATATCTGTATATTAATGTTTAGAGCTAATAATTGTATAAATATATTATTTGTCCATATTCCTTTGCCATTTATTCATTTATTGTATCGCCTTACCTTGTTTTCCTTTGGACATTTCTCCCCTCTTGACTTAACTTACTGTACTTAAAAGGCCAAGAAAGTGACGTATCTAACTATATAGTCTATAGCCGCTGGAATTATAGAGAACTTGTACCTAACTTTCTGTTAGTTTATATATATTGTAAAGTGTGCAATTACATGATACGAAATATAGATTGATTGAAAGTACGTTTGACAGAATAAAGAAATAGGGAAAGAAGAAGAAGAAGATCTTGTTGGGCTAAAATAAAAAGTCCAAACGTTTTTTAAATCAAGATTGGAATAAGATTTTCAAAATGAGGTTTGAAGATTTAAAAAAAAAAAAAAACAAGAGAAAAAATGACATTAACAGTTTAATCACACACCATCGACAGGAAAGAAAGGTAGACTGACGGATATAAAAGATAAAATAATTCAAATGACACTATGACAGAGAAAACAAGTCAAGAKAAAGTACGTGTAGCGTTGGTGGCGACACTCGGAATTTTTGGGCGATGTCAAACGTAGAGAGCAATTTTCCCTAAATTAGGCAGCACATCGAATAGTTCTCCATAACAAAATATCGTCAGCTAATAAATGGGGAGGGGAAGGGGTTTGCCCCTGTAATGAAGCTAAAACAACTGTCTGTCTGTCTGTATATTGCAGGGCTGATGTTAGAGCAACGCCCTGATCACTGAAAGATGATTTGTATGTCAAATCTGACCACTATTCTCATTGATCCCACTGATGCGAATATATAAGAAAACTTTTACAACCTGCTAAGGCCGTTCTGTATCCAATGCGCTTATGGTGGGTATATTTGGATCGTCTCAAGTCTCTCTACTACCCTCGACCTGCGACTGCTGTCTTTGTTATTTTCCCCGGCACCCATCCCACCCCCTTCCTTGCGCTTTGTGGTTGTTTGGAGAGCTTCACCTGCTCCCTAAACCTATATATAAGTAGAGTGGGACCAGTGAAAATGCTTTAGTGAATGGGATTTTGAGAGGTAGCTTTTGAGAATTTTTATGGGCGAAAAGACTTCGAACTTAGCCGAGAATAACTGCTTTTCATTGCACTCTTTTCAGCACAACCAAGTCGTCCTTTTCACTATATGCTAAAATTTTGACAGTCGCAGAAAACAAAGAGTTATTCTCTTGCCAAGCCTATCAGATCGCAAGTTCAAAGATTGGCGAGATATACACTGCGGCGTCGATGTTCTGTCAAGAGACTCGAAAGTGGAAACACCTTGTTGGTGAGCCATTTTTACATACTACATTTTAGTGGTTCGTAGGTAAGTTTAAGTCTGTTTGTGATGTTCATTCGCCTTTTTTATTTTCTCGTTCCCATGGACTAAAATTTAGAATTGTTGATAAGCGATGATTTGGTTTGTAAGTATCTTTGCCGCGTTGTTTATCGTGCAGCTCGTTTGCGAAGGTTTGTGCGTGTACGCTTCTTTGTCTTTTTCTCTTTGTCCTTGTCCTTGTCCTTCTTCTTCAGTTTCGATTGTTTTCTTATTTCCATCTCTGCTCTTTCCTTCGCCGTTTTCTTTCTACGTTTCGGTTTCTCTCCCGATGTATAACACTGAAAAAATTAATCGAAAATCTACACAGGCAGTTTGATTAACGCAAATTAAAAATACGTTTCCTACGTTCTACGGGCTGAGACTTGATTTGTAAAACCGATTTTCTAGAAATATCTTAGACATCCCCTATGAGTACCTTTTTAAATATGACAATAGCATTTTTTTAGACATCATCTATGTGAACCTTTTTAAATATGACTGTCTTCATGTACTGCCTTTGACACCATTGATTTGAAGACTGAAAAAAACCAAAGGTCCTTTCTCATATCAGTATTTATTACACTTTTAGGGTCGATATCACAGTGATCACTTCACCATTAGCACAAACACAATTTGCGGAAAAAGTAGAGACAGTTTCTTGCAAGTGATAAAAGGCTATAAAATTTATGTGAAACGCAGGAAAAAATGAAGAAAAGAAGAGAAACGTGATGGTTACATCCTCTTTACGGTTATTACGTGTTCTTAATAATGAATCCTTTAATTTATAATAATTTTTTGTTCTTTGTTATTTCATTATCTTTATAAATATACCAGCTGGTTTTTTCTCCTTGTCTAGCTATTTCTCCCTTTATTGTGTTTAAACTGACGCTTTAATAGTGAATTTCATTTAGTTGCCACTGCATTAATCATATTCACTATCCTTTATATCTTCAATCCTCATCTTTGTTATATAATTCTGGCCTTTTATTTCTGGTTTCCTCTCTTCAGCCCTCTAGTGAATACCTTCACCTCTTCACTCTCATTGAATTTTCTCTTCTTTCTTTCTCTTTTTCTTTCTTTTTAGTTTTCATATTTTTTCTTATTCTTTCTTGTGGCATATGTCTTCCTAGTCGCCTCTTGTAATTTTCATAAGCTTCTGTCTGCTATCTTGTTTACATTTGCTTTATTAATTTAAGGTGACTGCCTACTTTTGGAAATTGATTTAAGCTTTTTTTAAAACTTCGATTTTCCGAATTGAAATTTAATGCTGATTCCAAATCTGGAAAGAAAAATAGGGTGTCCCGAGCTYGTTTTYGAGATAATCAGCATTTAATGGAAGCCTACGCACGAGCTTTTGGAGTAAAAATTGCACCACCGGAAGTGATAAGAAAAAAATTAAGATTCATAAGATAATAGTTATTTGCAGACTATGATTGCACGAACGAAGGCTAGTCAATCCTTCTACAATAATACATGGATATTTTCGACAAAAAGACAGAGAGATACATTGATTTGTCATATTTTGTAGTTTCGGTGCTCTTAAAAAATCTCATAAAGTCGAACAAAAATCCCTACAAAAATCTATTTTTTCACGTGTTCCTGATTTAAACTTTTCCTAAAATGTTGATATAACCTAGATTTTTAGGAGTTTTTTCGAATGAGCTATCAAAAAATATAGAGTCCCGTGCAAAATTTGAGGGTTTTGCCCTGTTGAAGCTCAAAACGCGTATGGTTCTTCAATAAAATCTTGTAGATTTTTCAGCGGTTTTTGAGCGCGCGCTCATTGTGGGCTCAATTCGAACGTTCAAAAGTAGGCAGCCACCTTAACCCTTCACAATGTTCAAATTATTTTCTTTTTCAAGTTCCATACAATTTTTTACAGAAAAAGAAGATGAACTTTACTGACGCAAAACTCACTGAAACCAACCTAAAAGGTAAATAACTTCCAAACAGTTTTGCGTTTCGCATCTTAAGTCGAAAAGCTTCGAATTCACTTGGGCACAGCAAACACACAGATCGAACCCTGAAACAACCGGCCTTTGGGCTGTTCTAAGTCAGGGAACACGGCTAAAAGCGCGATTACATGGAGCAATTTTCCCTGCAACTTGTCGCGCAAAAGCGCTGCGACAAAAGTTGCAAGAGTGTTTACACGGCGCAATTCCTGCAAAAAGAAGAAACAAATTGATTCTATTTCAATATTTTTTTCAAATTGTGCTGTAGGTTACACGCTGCAATGCTAAATGCAACTTATGTTAGTTACGCCAGACAAATTGCAGAGAAAATTACTCCGTGTATAATCGCGCCTTAACTCACGGTTGTAATTGGAATTTAGCGTGTCAGGTTTCGCGGAGGGATGGATGCTTTTACCTACGAAAGAAAGAAAGGCGAAATATGGTTCCAAATGTCGTATTGTTTCGTCTTAAGCAGATGTATTCCTTATCTCTGATTCCAGAACTCACAAACTTTCTCCACGCTCCTCACTTCACCAACGCGCGAATCAAGCCATTCCTCGTCTTCTGCATCCTTTTCATCGCTCTGCTCTCGTTCCTAAGCAACACTCTCATCATCCACGTGATCAGGGTAAACCAACACATGCATACAACCATCAATTACCTCATTATGAACATGGCATGTGGAGACTTGTTAGTTACATTGGTCAGTTCGATGAATAACATCAACCGCTTATATAACGGAATGGCATGGGCGAAAGGGGCGTTTGGAAACATGTCTTGCAAAGCCAAGTACTACGCAATATTTGCTGCCATGTTCTGCTCTGTATTCAGCCTGGTTGCGATCACGTTTGACCGGTTTATGGCCGTTGTTCGTCCATATTCGCACAAGCACTTTTCAAGGTGGTCCAAATACACACTTCCGGTAGTCTGGTTAGCATCTCTGGGAGTACCATCTGTACTGGTGTTCCGAAAATTTTCAGTCGTTCAATTCCATGAGATCCAGGACGATAAAAGCTACTGTGTTCCCTTAAAATCCGTTAATGAAGGAGCTTTGATGACGATCTGTGGATACGGTGTACCTCACGTTGTCATGGTGATCATGTACACAATGATCGCGTATAAGCTTTGGATTCGACGACTTCCTGGGGAGCAACTACCTGATACTCAGCAGCGACAACTTGTTCAGCAAACTGCAAAGAGAGTCACTCTTATGATAATCTTTGTTTTACTCGTCTTCGAGATTTGCTGGGGGCCGATGTTTGCCCTGAACGTCATCCCATGTTTGATCCCTCATTTTCGAAAAATTCATGACCCCGTGATTACAGCCATCGTTGCCATGGCGATGTGTTCAAATGGTGTCTTCAATGCCTTGATATATTTTTCCTTTTGTGGTCATTTTCGACATGCAATCAAGGCTACCATGCGGATCAGCTCCAAACTGAGTTTAAGAAGATGTAAAAAGGAATCGAAAATAAATCCAAGGACAAGGTACGTACAAAAAAAAAAATGCCGGTAATGCTGGTAATGCTGGTAATGCTGGTAATGCTGGTAATGCTGGTAATGCTGGTAATGCTGGTAATGCTGGTAATGCTGGTAATGCTGGTAA